CGTGCACGTGTGTATGTGTATGTGTAGGCTACTCATCTCAGACTCATCTGTAACTTTAATAAGGATTAATCTTTAATTTATATAGTCAAATATGCAATGTTATTTTACATTTTATTTTATTCAATTTCTGTACCTGAAAACTAATGTTAGACCTACCTGAAAAGCATAGTTTATTTTATTAGTATTTATTTGTGCTTTTGCTTGTGGTTACATTATTTGTTCATATTTTCTTTATTTTATTTGACAGCAGTCTTTTTTTTCCCCCTGAACATAGCACATACTGAAACCGTGAGCTATTTGAAACGTTGCAGCTACAGTGTCACAGGCGGAAGATGATTCAGAGTGAGAGGTTTTTGTGGCTAAAAAGGCCAAACCCACCACAGCTGGTTAAAGGGATACTCCACTTTTTTTGGAAATAGGCTCATTTTACAACTCCCCCAGAGTTAAACTGTTGAGTTTTACCGTTTTTGAATCCATTCAGCCGATCTCCGGTTCTGGCGGTACCACTTTTAGCATAGCTTAGCATACATCATTGAAGTGGACAAGACCATTAGCATTTCTCATAAAAAAATGACCAAAGAGTTTCGATATTTTTCCTATTTAAAACTTGACTCTTCTGTAGTTACATCGTGCACTAAGACCGACGGAAAATGTAAAGTTGCGATTTTCTTGGCTGATATGGCTAGGAACTATTAACTATACTCTCATTCCTGCGTAATAATCAAGAAACTTTACTGCCGTACCATGAGAGCAGCAGGCGCAATGATATGACGCAGCGCCTGAAAATAGGCTACCTTCCGTCAACACAACGGAACTATTTTCAGGCGCTGCGTCATGTCATATTGCGCCTGCTGCTCTCATGGTACGGCAGTAAAGTTTCTTGATTATTACGCAGGAATGAGAGTATAGTTCCTAGCCATATCAGCCTAGAAAATCGCAACTTTACATTTTACGTCAGTCTTAGTGCACGATGTAACTACAGAAGAGTCAAGTTTTAAATAGGAAAAATATCGAAACTCTTTGGTCATTTTTTTTTTGAGAAATGCTAATGGTCTTGTCCACTTCAATGATGTATGCTAAAAGTGGTACCGCCAGAACCGGAGATTGGCTGAATGGATTCAAAAACAGTAAAACTCAACAGTTTAACTCTGGGGGAGTTGTAAATTGAGCCTATTTCCAAAAAAAGTGGAGTATCCCTTTAAGGTAGTACTGTAAGGAGACGAATTCCATGACCTGCGAATGTTGCAGTCGTTACCCCATAACTGCGGGGAACGCGAAGTTTGCCGACAGTACAGGCACTTCACAATTTAAACACAATACGCTAGTTAAACACAATCTTAGCCTCAAGCATAGAGTATGCGGTGACATGTCAATAAATCAAAAAGCAACGCCACTGCCGGTTGCTTTTAGAAGAGAAGAGGTTGTAACGTTAAATCAGAGCGCAAAGGCATTGTAATTTCTGCATCTATTATCAAAATATTTATTAGTAATACACTGGAAATTTTATTAGTAGAAAATGTGAATATTTGGTTAGTATGTTGATTTACGGTGTGTGGTCCTAAATTTTCTGGTTGTGCCCCTAAAATTTTCAGTTGGGGGCCACTGTGCTCCTAGTGAAAAAAGTTAGTCTGGAGCCCTGGACAGTTGAAATATGTCTACTTTTAAACGAAACAATTAGAAAGAAATAGTTTGTAATCCATATAGGCGCGTGTGTTCACTACTGCAGGAATGACTAGTCAACACAATGTTTCCCCTACCATTGTTTTGGGGGGGCGGCCCGCCCCCCCCCCAAAACGCCCCCCCGCCCCCCCTAAAATGCTGGCGAAATCCAGTCATAAAAAAGGAATTTAATGTATAACGCGGAATTTCACGGAATTTGAGGAAAAAATAGAAAGCAGTTCAGTACACTTGAAATCAAATCGCGATGTAGACTAGTGTGTGTGAATATTAAAACACAAAGACTATTTAAATACAAATCCTGCATGTTCTGTGTGAATGAATGGTGCCGCCGACGCGCAGTTTCATTTACCACACACACACACACACACACTGAAGCACGTGTGACGCTTGCGCTGTTTTTTGGCCTATATGAAGACACAAATGCATGAACTTCCTCTCCAGGCTCTAGATCCATTACTGTTGTACATTAGAATTTAGATATGTCCCAATGTTATAATACACTAACATTAATCCAAATATATTATCATCAAAACTGAAATTAAGGAATAATCAATGTTTTAATTTTCACAGTAGTAATTTTCATTGTGCAGCAAGTTATTTGACAAAAAGTTTATTTAATTTCATATGATTAAAATTGATGATAAATGATACAATTTGTGTTTTCTGTCTTCATTTTATTACCAGAAAAAACACAACACAGAATTAGTGTGACATTTTTTTTCATATATTTTTTTTTTTAAGTATTGTTTAATGATTCATAATACATGATTTCAATTAATTTAGACATGCTTTTTGATTGCAAAAAAAAATTACACCACGTATCCGTAACACGCCCGCTCCGCAACACTAGCAGCCCCCCCCCCCCCTGAAAAAAATCCTAGGGGAAACACTGCAACATCACCATATTCATCTTTGCAGCCAACACACTCAGTAAACACTTGTTTATTAATAAAAAATTTAAATATCTCCTTGCTATTATATCCCGACACATCCATAATCATTAGGCTACTTTCGCCAGTGCTTTGCGGCAAGCTTTGTGTGCTGAGTGTGAGGCATAAAGTTTCGGTGGCCGAATATTCGGTTTATCCCCATTTATAATACATGATAGGGGTGGAACGGTACACAGAAGTCACGGTTCGGTTCATACCTCGGTTCAGACATCACGGTTCGGTATGATTTCGGTACAATGGAGTGAAAAGCAAAACAAAAATGCAGAAGGCATTTTTATAAATGTCTTAAGCCTTGTATTTTTTAAATAAGTTTTATTAATAAAGGCATAGAACCAGTTTATTTGTAGTGCACTGACAGTAGTTTTATATAATTAGTTTATTAATTAAATTATTAAAAAGACCTTGAGATATGTTTGGTATTTGTACCTGAATGAATTTAAAATTAATTTGCTATTTCAGATCAATATATTTGTTTTCCTTCATTTTAATTAACCCTAACTTTATTCTCATCTGAATTATAAATAATTGATTTCCGTATAAAATAATACTACCATTAAAAACTTTTGTTAACAGGTGTAGGTTACAGTTTGACAAGAGTTTAGAGTGTGACAAAAGCACAATGTTGTGTTTTATTGCGAGTGTACACAAATTAAAAAAGTTAACAATTTGCAGTTTTAATGATGTCCTGTATGAAAAAAATGACGGAGTATGTTTTTATGTTTCCACTGTTCATCGCCCGTGCCTCTCTCACACCGACACACACACACACACACACACTGTTCGATCGCGCGAATCGCGCCCGCGCCTCTCTCTCTCTCTCTCGCACGTGCGCGCGCGCATACACACACACACACAGACACACTGTTCGATTGCGCGATTCGCGCCTCTCTCTCTCTCTCTCTCTCTCTCTCTCTCTCTCTCTCTCGCACACACACACACACTTCAGCATTGATGGCAGCCTGTTCATTGCTGCGTTCACAGTCACACCAAAAGCGAATAGAGCGAAATTGATCGCTATTTAAGAGGTTTTTTTTTTATTATTTGTACCGTGTATTCTCCGTGCAAATTCGTGCACCGAACCGTGACGCCCGTACCGTTTCGGTTCAATACGAATACATGTACCGTTCCACCCCTAATACATGATATAGTTAAGTAACATTACACGACAAAGGGAGTTGTTCTACTGAATATTATCACGATTACAAATGTTACATTGAATTTATAGTTTAATAAACAAGTAGCCTAGTTAATATGTAGTCGATGTCCCAGACCTCCCTACAACAAATGACTTCGTAAACATGTCACCTTTTTCACCACTTTTGAGTTTACAGGTCTGCATTAATGTGCTTAATGTGGTAACATGTAAATTAACTGGTTTGACTCAAGTCAAAAATATAATTGTTTGAATCAAATTGACCATTAGATTAGCTAATTTTAAGGCTTCGGGTAACAGTATACAGGAACACCTACCACTTTTTTACTGTGTAGAATACTACAATTATACATGGGTAAAAATAACTCATCATAGCTGGATGTTAAAAATGAATTCTATTCCCCTACCCACCTAATAAATCTTAATAACATTGTATTCAATATAAATATTTCACATTTCTGCCCATACCATTGGAAATACAGTCAGTGTTAATACAGTATTTTCATGGTAAATGTTTGTAAGGGTGGTGATTTGGGCATTTAAAGGGATACTACACCGTTTTTTTTTTTTTTCATATTAAACTGTTATTCCCTTAACTTAGACGAGTTGATGCATACCTCTCTCGTCTCAGTGCTTGCACTAAATCGCTCTCTTGCGGCGAAACTTTGTTAGCACTTAGCTTAGCCCAGTTATTCATTAGGATCTAAGCAGAGAAGCGACCAAACACCTCCACGTTTCCCCTATTTAAATAGTTACACGAGTAGTGTAACTCGACCAAGAATGGTGACACAAAATAAAACGTTGCGCTTTTCTAGGCGTGTAAAGTGGGTAACTATAATGTATGGCGGAATACCATAGCAAGTGCTTGGGAGCACTTAAACTCAGTGCAGTAATATCATCACTCCTGAAAAATCCTCTCCGGAGTGATGATGTTACTGCGCCGAGTCGATTCCGCCATACATTATAGTTACCCACTTTACACGCTTAGAAAAGCGCAACGTTTTATTGTCACCATTCTGACTAGTGCTGGCTAAATAATAAACATGGTTCATTGATCAGTACTTTTAATACTTAAGTACATTAATAATTTTTACTTAAGTAAAATTGAAAATGAGTATTTATTTTACTGGAGTAATATTTTTTTTTTACTTATACAATTTATTTGTACTATACTTATACTCAAGTGCTTGATTTGTGTACCACTACTTCTCCATCAGGTGGATGAGAACGAGATCAGAGAGTTCTTTGCCAAGTACGGGTGTGTGAAAGAAGTGAAAATCATCACTTATCGAGGAGGAATATGCAAAGGGTGAGTGACACTTTTAGTTTTCCCTGCTGGAAAAAAAAATCTAAACCCTAAAGTGGTCCAAATCCCTCTAAAACCAGCCAGATAAACCAACTGACTGGGCTGGGAGACCAGCTAAGACCAACCAGACTGTTTAGGCTAGTTTATCTTGGGTTTTTTGTCAGCAGGGTTGTTTTCTACCTAGCCCAAAATAAGGTAATTCAGAAAATATTGTAAAGCATAAGTCTAGGACTGTGTCTAACAATTATTTTGTTAATCAGTCGATTATTTTGACCGTTAATCAAGTAATTTTTTTTTTTTTGTGGTAATAAAAAGGCCTAAGCAAAGACCTTAACCTTTAAAATGACTTACAATACATGTATAATAACAATGAGGAAATATTTAGTTCAAATCAAGTATCAAAAGCAAGTTATAATATGGGTTTATAGAACAACACTGTTAAAATACATAATATAAACGATCATCTTATGTACATTAAGTATTATGACAAATGCCTGCAGAGGATGCCAACGGCCTGGTGTTACACTTTACAGCAGATCAATCCTTGTTTAAAGTGTCCTTGTTATGCTTTTTCAGATATTACCTTTCATGCAGTGTGTAATATAGCTGTTTGTGAATGTAAAAGGTCTGCAAAGTTTAAAAGATCAAAGTGTGTTATAAATGGTTATTGTCTCAAAAAAATAATCTATTCTGAACTTCCGAAATGAGTCATCAGTAATTCCAGTCTTTCTTCCGTAACTTTCATACGTAACAACATAACAAATTTGCATAATGCTCACCCATGGTCTTCATTGGCTGCCAGCGAACATCTACTTTAACCCGCCCTCAAACACTGTAGCTGGTTCGTGTTGTGTACACAGTTGTGTCAAATATGCTGTTTTCTGCTCTGCATCATTTTGCAAAGAGAATTTGCTTTTTCAAAGGATGAGGATGTGAAGAGTCAGTAAAATTACCACAGCGGCAGTATAACCTTTTGACTAGGGATACACGATACTAGGGGTGTAGTCTCCACCTCAGACGTCACGCCCACGGACCGTTGGCTGAACATCTGATGCATATGGCACACTTTTCTGGAAACACTTCAGGAGTTTCAAAGTCGCGATCTGATTGGTTGAATTCTACAGGATGTCCGGGAGACATGAGTCTCGTTCTTTATCGGTCCGCCTGTAAACAAATGCCATGACGCAAAAACCCCTTGTGGAAGAAGAAAGCCGTTTACAACTGTCAATGAGCGCTTACCAGGATCAACTAAATGCTGGATTTTCAAAAAGTGTGTGAAGTTTGTGGCTCCATTGTTACAGTAAACTTGCACAAAATTTTCATTAATTAACTTTTGTGAATTGCAGTGTCCCGTGAGTGTAACTCTATCTGTGTTAACGTGATGTGAATGTACGTCGCGTTGAGACAGAGGCACCAGGGGCCTCATGTATCAACACTGCGTACGCACAAAAACACGGCGTACGTCAGCTTTCACGTTCACGGCCAGATGTACTAACAGTGAAATTAACTTAAGAATGTGCGTTCCTCCAAGTAAACTTCATGTCTGGCGTACGTATATTTGTCGTGATTTTTGTCCGTTGGCGACTCATAGAGGCAATAAAGTGAAGTGGCAAACATTACACTACGAATTGTTCTATCGCACCACCAGCTGTCAGATATTGCTTATAATTTGTAATTGATAAATTATTTGACATATTATTGTCACACGAGTCTTATTAAAATATTCTATTATGCAATTAAGTAAGAACATATATAAAGCATGTGCAAATTGATACAACCCGTCTAGCAATGGCAGTGTTGGCTTAACTAGGAAAATAAAAAATAAACCTCATTAATTCGGTCAGTAAAGATAAAAAAGAAAGTAATATTTTTATTCAGCAAGGACTAGTGTTGCACGGTGCACCGATACTTCAAAAGTATCGCGATACTCGGAAATTAAAAACTTCACGATACCTAAATTTATTAGTATCGATACTTCTAAGAATGACCGCGTTCCAGATTTGTAAGAGAGTATTGCATGTTGGTGTGTGCAACGCACGCTTCCAGTGCCTCCCTATGGACGTCTGTGTTTTTCTCCTCATGCGCGTGTGACAGGGCGCGTGAACTGAACGAGCAGAGAGAGAGAGAGTGAGCGAGCGAGCCCCGGTCGCGCGCGCACTCTCTCTCTCTCTGCCGAGCCAGGCGAAAGTATAAACAAGGCTTCACCGTCTCAAAACTAAGCGCTGTCTTGCTCTCTCTCTCTCCCTCGCACATATTAATCAAAATAATTCGACACGATGGTAAGGTCGGGAGACTAAAGTTTCATGTGGAGCATTCGGAGTTTTTTTTTTTTGAATTACCGCTGGGTGTAAATTGTGGTAAAATACGTTGCCTTATCTTCTCTGAATCGTTCCGCACATTCAGCTGACATAAACCACACTTTAAATAAACGAAAAAAACTATCCAGTCATGAAATGTTTTCTGTGATGACAGTGGGATGTAACCGCCTGGATAATCACACAACGCACACACGTCCGATAATGACACGTCCAATTCGCGAACTAATGACTCATTTGAACCGATTCGTTTTAATGAATGGTTAAAACAACTGATCTGTCTGAATCGGTGTATAACTAATCGTTAACACTTTGTAATAAGGTTTCATTTATTACATAAATTACATAAAACAAATAAAAACAGTTGTTTTTTCCCCCCGAAAAAGCATATGACTACTTTTTTCCACACAATGCTATCATGAATCGATAAGAGAATCGTTAAAGAATCGGATCGATAAGCAGAATCGTCAGTGGCATTGATATTGATAAAATCTTATGTTTCTTATGATAACTGAGATAATGCTGCTAAATTTATTTATTTTTTTACCTTGAATGTCATTGCTCTAATTTATTTTTTATATTTTTCATATTTCATATTTTGTTCAAATGGTTATTATAGCCTATCTGCTGTTCAAATGTTCATTTATTAGTGTGTTATGATTGGAATGTTGTCCCAGTTTTAAAATAAAGCACAGCAATGATATTTGAGTGTTTCTCCCTTTTCAGGAAAAGTATCGAAAAAGTATCGAAATCGCAATTCTTGACTTGGTATCGGTATCGAAACAATAATTTTGGTATCGTGACAACACTAGCAAGGACACATTGAATTTGTTTAAAAGTGAGAGTAAATGCATTTATAATGTTACAAAAGATTATAAGATTTCTATATCTGTTTGATTTAAGTTTTTATTCATTAAAGAATCCTGAAAATACTATATCACTGTTTCCACGAAAATATGAAGCAGAAGGACACCTGTTTTCAACACTGATAATACTCAAAAATGTTTGTTAATCATCAAATCATCATATTAGAATGATTTCTGAAGGATCATGTGACACTGAAGACTGGAGAAATGATGCTGAAAATTCAGCTTTGATCACAGGAATAAATTACACTTTCACACAGAATACATTTTCAGTGAAATTTCGTTTCTTGCTTGCTTTAGACATGTTCTTGCAGGTTTCTTTTGCCAAATTGGACTAATTACCATATTTAAATTAATTTAATTGGGGGAGGAGACTAGGTGGTGCGTTGTGCTCGTGCATGTGCGCTCAGTTTTACGTTAATTGGGATGTACAAAGAGAATATGCGTGGGATCCTTCGTACGCAGAGATTCATACATCTGCTTTTTTTTGTGCGTACCAGTGTTAATTTCGTTGACGAAAATAACGACGAAAATTATTCGTCAACGACATTTTTTCACAGACGAAAACGAGACGATAACTAAATAAAACCTAGTTTTGAATGACAAAGACTATGACGAAAATCTATTGACATTTTCGTCAACTAATAAAAACTAGACGAAAATGTTAGATAGTGACGATTTGGGAAGCGATCCGTCAGAACTGATGTCCTGCGTGTGTGGTAGATGCGCACATTTGTTGGCTACTGTAACGTGATCTACCCCGCGGTCATAAAACGTTAAAAAATGTGAACGTCTGGGAGAATGAGTAGGGCAGACATATAGATCTCTGAATAAGAGTGACGATGCAAAAAAGAGCTCTATTCGGTGCGGTTTTCTGTGCGCACACACCTAACCCGAAGCGTGCAGTCATGCACAATACACCTACAGCGCGCGAGTAGGCTACTGAATTGAGCTCTCTTTCGTGTCTGAATGGAGAAATACACAACAGTATGTCTAAATGTCCTTTTTGGAGAGTATTCATGTAAACTATGCTGGTTATGTCTTAAACTGTGAGTGTGTCGGATGTGCATCAGTGCAATTGTATCCGCATGTCATTGGACATGATCCGACGTCTTAAAGTGACAGTGGCAATAAACCTAATGCGGTCCGTGTCCTTAATTTTGATCAAGCAACAAAAGAAAAAGAGAAAAGCATTCACTGTTTGTTAATAGCTTTAATAAGGATTAATTATATTTAATTCATACAAATAAATATGTCTGCTTGAAAGAATAAAGAATGATGTGTAAGTAGTTATAAGGAATGAATATATCATTCATTGTAAAGAAGACTGTGTTGTACTTTAGGAAAAGTGGTTTTATTTCATTTTAAGATATTTTTTAAGTAACAGCAGTTAAATCTGTATCTGTATTGCATGTTCAAACTTAAAAATCATTCATATTAATAGGTTAATAGATGTTTTCTCCGAGAGTATATGGGTTTGGAAATTTTAGAGAAATTCTAAATTAACGCATTACAATTGAACTAAACCCATTATATTTTAGTCGACTAAATCTACTGTAGATTTAGTCGACTAAAATGTTATTGTATTTCGTCGACTAAAACTAGACTAAAACTAAAACAATTCAGATGACTAAAATATGACTAAAACTAAATGGCATTTTAGTCAAAAGACTAAGACTAAAACTAAATCAAAATTTGCTGACAAAATTAACACTGGTGCGTACGCACATTTACAGCTTTGTCCGTACGCAATGTTTTAGTATGAATTCAACGCAAGTCTTTGTACATGAGCCCCCAGAACTGCAACTGATAGAATGCACTG